CACCTATATAGACATTAGAGATGCATGTACAAACATCTGTTAGTTGCATTGAAAATGAGTTTTTCTGTATGAAACAGTATATTTTAGTAATGAAATGGAGATCTTTTTAAAAGGTTAAAACCTCGTTTAATTTTATGCCTTATAGGGTTTATACTGAGTACAATATTGCATTAATATTGTATTAATTCAACTGTAAACCTAAAAATTTACAGCCAATTTTGAAAGAGATGCATCTTTACTCTGGAAATTGTTATTGAATAGGTTAATGCTGTTGTAATGAAATGCTTCTTCTAATTAACAAAAAAAAGGTTTCTAAAGAAAAAAAAATAAAAATACTAAATAAAATATATTTTAAAAAAAAAAGAAAGAAAGAAAAAAACTTATTTGACAAAACCAAAGCACAATTAAGTAAACGTTTCAAGTATTAATCAGTATCTCCTGTGCAGCACAAGTGTGGTTAGATTCAGTTCCTGCCTCAATGGCTTACAATTAATTAGACAAAATGGTTAAAATACGAGGGCAAGGATTGGGGTGACAGCTCAGTTGGCAGGGTGTTTGCCTAGCATGCACAAGGCCTTGGGTTCAAACCCCAGTACTGCATAAACAGGACACAGTGGTACACACCTGTCATCCCAGCACTTGGGAGGTAAAGGCAAGAGAATTAAGGACTCAAGGTTATCTCTACATAGTGAGTTCAAAGCCAGCCTAGGACACATGAGACTGTCTCAAATAAAATGCACACACTCATACACACACAACACACACACATAGAAATAAAAGCGGAAGGAAAGGAATGAGAACATTAACGAAGTAGACATGTTTAAGACAAAAAGTATTATAGAAAATAAAATTCTGAATTGTAGAATAGTATATAAAAAAAAAAAACATGAATGAACACCTGGAAACATGACGAATGAAGGGAAAATGGAGAGCACATTTACTGTAAGTAATACACATTAACTAGTTTATTTGTGTGTGCAAATTGATATTGTATGTCTTTTTTCCCTTGTAGATGTAAAGACTTACCAACACATAAATTCAATCTGAAATTAAAGTGTTCTGATCAGCAACTGTCAAATGAACAGAATGGCCAATGCCTTTCCCAGCTACTTAGCAAGTAAAGGTCAGTGGTTCTTATCTTACTATCTGAAAGAATTTAAGATTATTCTATACTAACATAAGTTTGCTCTGAAAAAGTTCAGATTGGTAGGGCTTATTATTATAGTACTGCCCAACTCTCTATCCCAAAATTCTTCTCCCCACTCCATCCCATATATAAACAGTAACTGAACACAATTTGACAAGAGAGAAAAACAGGAAACAAAGAAGGTATTTTTTTTTTTTTTTCAAAAAGAGGATACTCTTAAGTAAGCCAAAAACAGAGTAAGGCAGTACCCTTCTGGTTTAGCTCAGAATGAAATGTTCCCTCACAGCTCTGTATTATGATACGGTAATTGCAGCCCAATATCTATAAGAAGATCACTTCTTTCACTCTCCCTACCATGCAAAAAATTGCTTTAGTCATTTACTTCAAATTATATGATTATGAATTAAAAACAAATAATGAAGGGGCTATAAAGATGGTTCAACAATTAAGAGCACTTGCTGCTCTTGCAGAGGACCCAGGTTCAGTTCCCAGCACCTACATGGTTGCTAACAACACCCTGTAACTCCAGTTCCAGAGGATCCAACACCACATTCAGGCCTCTGTGAGTACTGCATGACGTGGTGCACATACATGCAGGCAAAACACTCAGACACATAAAAATAAATCTTTTTAAAAACTAATAATGCATATAATGAATTAGATTACTTATTTTTAAAATAATTTAAGGTAGCCAGGTGGATCTTTTGTGTGTTTGAGGCCAGCCTGGGCTCTATAGTAAGTTCCAGAAAAGCCAGGGCTACATAGTAAGAGCCTGTCTTTAAAAATAAAGAATTGGGCCAGGCGTGGTGGCGCACGCCTTTAATCCCAGCACTAAGGAGGCAGAGGCAGGTGGATCTCTGTGCGTTCAAGGCCAGCCTGGTCTACATAGTGAGTTCCAGGAGAGCTTTTTTTTTTATAAATAAATAAATAAATAAATAATCTACTTGTTTAGTGAAACTTAATCACTAAAGTATTTAGTGACTCCTTAAACACATAGAGCAAAACATGTTACCATGCAGATTATAATTCCCTGATACTACATTTGCTTTTCATTTTATCAGCATTCTTAGTCTCAGCAAAAAAAACAGTATCAAATAGCATTCTTGACTTTAATAACTTAGTGAATATACTGAACAGTATAATACAGGAACAATTCACTGAATACAAACTTACTTTTCAGCAAAATCTTTACATCTCCATTTTCTTTCTTGATCTCACTCATTACTTTATGCTTCTTTCTTTCTCTCTCTTTTTCCTTGTCTTTTTCTTTAATTTTGTCTTTGATTTTATCTGAAAGACAAAATAAAGAAAATATTTAAAACTACTAAGTCAAATCTTTTTTTTTTTTCCTCCACAAACTTTAGTTCAATTTCTGGAACTACAACACATTAGAAAATTTCCTCTCTTATTGAACATGCAATCCATACTATCAAAATTTATCACTATACATTTAATTGTAATCATTGCTTTTTCAGTTATTTCATGTAAATCAAAATGTAAAGACTAACTTCAAATCCCATAAAATCATTGGCTATCTTTACTGGAACAGATAAGTATACTCGAACAGTTATAACTCTGAAATTGGGCATATCTGTATTGATAACATAAATCAGAAAAATAATAGTTTCCAAACCTGTAAAATGCTGGTTGGTATCTTCTCACAGGGTTACTATATGGATTAAATGAAGACCTTGGCATGCATTAAGACTACATACTAGTTCCCATACTCTGCCTTTGAAGAAGAACATGACTAATATAACTAGTGCAACAGTGATACTAAAATACAGTGCATAGAAACTCTAGGAATCATTGATGTATATTCTCAAAGTTTAAACTTGAGTTTATGAAATACATAATATCCTATAAATACTTGTTTGTTCAATCAACTGCCTATGAATTTAGCCAAGAAAAAGATACACAGGAGAGGGGCTGGAGAGATGGCTCAGCAGTTAAGAGCACTGGCGGCTCTAGCAGAGGACACAGGTTTGATTCCCAGCACCCACATGATGGCTAACAACCGTATATAACTCCAGTTCCAGGGAATTCAACACTCTCTTCTGATCTCCATGGGCACTGCACAACACAGGTGTACTTACATACATGCAGGCAATACACTCATACAAAAAAAGTAAAAGCAATAAATAAAAAGATACACAGGAGAATGAAAAACATTAATACTGTCCTTGCCTTCAAAGGGTTTATTACTAGAGACAAAGAGATGGTTCAGTGTAAGAGCACATACTGCTCCTGCAGAGGACCTGAGTTCAGTTCCCAGCACTCACGTCAGGCAGCTGACAACCACCTATAACTCACAGCTCCAGGGGCTACAACACCCTCTTCTGGCCTCTGCAGGTACCTGTACTCATGTACACATACCCATACATATACACACCCTAAACTACTCTAAACTACTTACATATATAATTCTTTAAAAACATCTAAAATATTTAAGCTCCATTCATAAATAAATACAAAATTTTAAATTACATTATTTTTACCTACTGAACTGGCAAAATGCTTTTAAAGTATCAATACCACAAGCAGAAAAGACAGATTATAAGGCTATCAAAACAGATTCACTGGCTCAACAAAGATGCAATGATACACATAAGAAATAGGGATGAGATGTGAATAAGTTACATATATAGGGCCCTTTTCTGTTCTTATAGAACTTAAATTCTAGATTACATTAAGCTAGTCTCACATTTCTTTTTCTTCCTTAAAGATATTTTTCATTTCCTTTTATTTTTCTATTGGCACATAAAAATTATGGGATGTCACATGATGTCTGAACACATGTAATACATTGTATAATATTCAAGTCAGCATAACTATCTCCTCAAACATTTATTATTTCCTTGAAGCATACAAAATCATAATTCTTTCTAGGTATTTTTAAAAAATATAGAACATTAACTGTGTGCAAAGGAACACCAGAATTTATTTCTCCTGTCTAACTATAACTTAGCACCCACTGACCAACTTTGCTCCACCTTCTCCTTTAGTCTCCTCAGTATCTGGTAACCACCATTCTAGTCTCAACTCCTATGGGATCAACATGTTTCAGATTCCACAGACAGTGAGATCAGGTATTTGTCCTCCTCTGCTTGGCTTATTTCACTTAACACAATCATATTTTTATCCATGTTGTCCTGAGTAACATGACTTAAGACTTTCCTATAACTAATACTCGTGTGTGTGCGTGTGTATGTGTGTGTGTACATGGCTTTTTTTCCACGCACATGGCTTTTTTCCACTCATCAGCTGATAGGCACTCAAACTGTTTCCATGTCTTAGTTATTACGGATAGTGCTACAATAAACATGGGCGTGCAGAAGTCTCTTCAACATACTAATTTCATTTTCCTGGGCTATAACCAGCAGCAGTTCTGGTGGCTCACAGTTTAGTTTTAACTTATATATTTTATTTTTAATTATTTATTATTATGTGTGAGGAGGGGCGTGCCACAGCATGCATGCAGAGGTCACAAAACAACTTAAACCTTTATGTGATTTCTGGAGACTGAACTCAAAGTCATAAGGCTTGTGCAGCAAGCACCTTTACCCAATGAGCTATCTTGCCAGCCTTGAAAAATCCCATTTTAACTATCTCCTTTAAATTTCCTATAATCATGTAAAAGGTTCATTGGATTTATTTTTTAAATAAAAGCATCATAAAATTTCAAACTAGGAGCTGGAGAGATGGCTCAGTGGTTAAGAGCACTGGCTGCTCTTGCAGAGGACCCAGGTTCTATTCCCAGCACCCACATGGCAGCTAACAATCATCCTTAACTCCAGTTCAGGGGGAATCTGGCGCCCTCTTCTGGGGACTGCATGGCATGAGTGCACATACGTGCAGGCAATACACTCATACACATAAAATTAATAAAGTACTTTTTAAAACCCTTCCAAGTAGAGATTCTCATGAAATAGTGCAAAATATCATGCTAAAACATTCCGCACTACAAATTTTTGCAGCAAAAGCCCAAAAAGGCCAGGCATGATGGCAAATGCCTTAATCCCTCACTAGAGAGGCAGACACAGGTGGATCTCTGTAAGATCGAAGCAAGCCTAGTCTACATAGTGAGTTCCAGGCCAGCTGGGGCTACAAGGAGGCCCTGTCTCAAAAAAATAACAAAAAAAACTCAAATGGCCTTCATACTATCAGTTTTGCCTGCTCTGAGTATGAGTGACAAGTCAAATCATCATAATGGAGACCATGAAGTCAGCTAGTCTGAGCAACCACACTGATATCTCTCCTCCTCCCACTCTATCCAGCCAAAAATAATATATTGTTAGAAGTCAGAGAGCAAGCAGAAAACCAAAAAAAAAAGAACCCACAGAATTTAAACAGGGAAGTAAAAGGGAAAACAGTACAAAATGACAATAGTAAGCAAAAGATGAAGGAGATGAAGGACACCATAAAAACAAAAGGCTTTATTAGCAGTAATTAGGACAAAAAGTCATTTCTCACAGCTTTCCCCAACATACAGTTAAGCAGAGTTACCAAATCCAGTAGTCAGACCTTCTTTAGATCTCCCTGCAAAATAACATTATTGGCCTTTCCATCAAAATGTCTGTGTTTCAATGATACTGTAATATCCTAATCTAATTCTCACATTCCTATCATCCAAACCTGCACATTCCTCTAGAATCTATCTTAGGCATGCTTCTCTCTTCCCTATACTTACTGTGGCTTAAATTATAACCATTAAGGAGCTGAAAAGATTGTTCAGTGGTTAGAAGCACTTGCTGCTCTTGCAGAAGACCTAAGTTCAGTTCCCAGTACCCCCAGATGGCTGGCTCACAGTCATCCATAACTCCAGTTCCAAGGGATGGGATGCCCTCTTCTGGCCTTTTTAGGCATTGCAGGTACATGGCACGTAGGCAAAACACACACATACAATAAAAATAAATCTTTTTAAAAAAATTATAACCAAATGGGGTGTATGGTGGCGCACACCTTTAATCCCAGCACTCAGGAGGTAGAGGCAGGCTGATCTCTCTGAGATCAAGGCCAGCCTGGTCTACATAGCAAGTTCTAGGCCAGCCAGGGCTACAAGGAGAACCTGTCTCAAAAAAGCAAAAAAACTAAAATTAAAATTAAAATATTATAACCATTAAGCAAACAAATATTCAGATCTACCAAGCCAACCTCTGCAAAACTGCATGCTTTTGTTTCCATAAGACAGATTTAACATCAAAATCATCATGTTTCATTTTCTTTCCAATTCCCTACTTATGTTAATGGCACATCTTCAAACATCCAAATACAAAAATGTTCGGTAACTTTAATACTTCCCATTCCAGTTTTGTCCCAAGATTAAATCATTTGGTCAGTTCTGCCAACTTTCTGTTTAAATATTTCCATCCTCCTTTCCCCTTTCATAGTCATCACCACAGTGGATAGTGACTGCCCTCCCCACAGTCCACTATACTGAATGACATAAAAATATCTCTTAAAGGAACCCTTGTTCACTGCTGGTGTTAGTGTAAACTAGTAAAAACACTATGGAAATGTACATAGCAGTTTCTCAAAAAACTAAAACTAGAACTACCACATGACCCAGCCATACCACCCCTGGGCATAACATAGAAATGGTTTCCAGGAACACAGAAGAAAATCTTTCCTTCCCAATTAAGGGATTGGTTGAGGATAGTTCTGTTGTTGTTTAGGGGGTTCTTTTTTTAACTTTTATTTGTATTTTGCATATATATAAGTGCACCATGTGCATGCAATGTCTGTGGAAGCCAGAGGAGGGCACTGGATCCCCTGGACTTTGTATTCTAGACAAACTGTTAGCCCCCACATGGGTTCTGGCAACTGAACCCGGATCCTTTGCATAAGTAGCCAGTGGTCTTAATTGCTGAGCCATTTCTCTGACCCCAGGACAGTTGAGATTTGGCAAGTGTGAGGCAGAGAGTATTTAAAATACCTAGCTTCTACTCCTCTAGATCTGTTTGCTCATCCATGTAGACAGAATTTGCTCAAGGGATAAATGGTCCTCACAGTAAAAACTGATGACACACAGTAAGGACACTGAGACTGAAAAGACATCTGGGTCCAGTCAACCAAGTGCAGAAGGACCTGCGAACTGCTGAACTGAGAGCTTGGCTGAGCTTTGGTTACTTATAAAATCCAAGGCTATGCTGACCTCCGATGTCTTTCATTTCTATTATTTCTTGATTCTATGATTTGTCTCTGTGAAAAACAAAAATGTTTTACAATGACTCATACAGTCATAACATCCTATATTTTGTACAGTATTGCAAAAACTGTTTCTGCATAAG